AGAAGTCCAAGTCAGGTTCCAGTTAGGTACATTCAGGCTTCCTTTTAAGGTTTGGACCCCTGCTAGTGGGAACTCAGGGCAAAATTTATGACATTCCCTAAGGGGGGCCCAATTTTGAGACTCTCAGGTGGTCTGCTGAGTTCTCAGCCTCTATGCAAGAGGGAGGCTGGAACAGGCACTCTGGCGGTCTGCTGAGATCTCAGCTTTATCCTACCAAAGGGCAGAGGTCTGCCCAGGGGCCTTGGGAGGAGCCTCACGTAGACCCAGTTGGGGGTTGGGTATGGCATGATTTGGGGAAGCTCACCACTGTGTGGGGGCAGGATTAAAGGGGTCATGGAGAGCATCTGAAATCTGACATGGTGTGGTAGGTCAGAGTCCTTAAAGAAAGACCTGGAAAGACCACCGGTGAAGGTGCAGCCTTGGCTGCAGTGGAGACCACGAGGTACTAGAGATATCAGCATCAAGGGGCATCCACCAAGGACAGCGACAAGAATGGAGTGGAGCTAGACTGAGCCTACCAGACAAGTTATGTGTTCTGCAGATAGGAGAACTGGGGAATTGGGATGCCCAAGTCCTTTGGAGCCCAGATGATGATAAGTGAGCTCCAGATGCTGGACACTGAGATACAGGATTTCATTTAAACTACTGAACTTCAGGTTTTCCTTTAATATGATTGTTTCTATGTCCTGGTTCCTCCCTTTTAGAATAAAAGAAGTTATGACTTGTTTTTTTATTTCACAAGAGCCCACAGATAAGAGACTAAATGAAAGACATTGAACTTTTAAAGTGTTGTAATTTTTAAAGACTGTGGGACTTTTAAAGTTGTACTCTATTTTATAATATGATATTAACATAAGATCTTGGGGACAGACAAGAAAGAAACGGTTATAGTTTAATAGTGATATGTTTGTGTGTCAAGGAGACAAGGAGAAAAGTGTTCTGGTTAGTTTTTATTTTTACCTTGGACAATCTAGAGTCACCTAGGAAGAGGGAACCTCAGTTGAAGAACTTTCTCAATCATACCGGCCTGTGCCCGTGTCTATGAGGAATTGTATTAAATGATGATTGATGTGGGAGGGCCAAGACCAGGGTGGAGAGCACTAACCCTAGGCAGCTGGGCCTGGGCTATATAAGAAAGCTAGCAGGAAACAAGTCAGCAGGCAAGTCAGTAAACAGCACTGCCTTCTGTTTTCTGCTTTGGCTCTTGCTTGAGTTTCTACCCTGAATTCCCTCAATAACAGATTGTGTAAGCCAAATAAACCATTTTCTCCCATAAGCATCTTTTAGTAAGAGTATTTTATCAAAGCAAAAGTAACTAATGCAATCCTATTCCCTGCTTTAACGAGAATGAGACCTACTCATTCCTCCAGAGAGTACTGATTCCCAGGCACTGAAGAAACACCACAGAATGACACCTGGGCAAATGCCTTCCAAAAGATAGTTAACCATCATTGTAATCATCATAAAGAAAATATTCCATCCAAATTCCTAGAACTGCTACAAGTCAAAAGATGAGTGAATAAACAAATAAATGTTCATAATGTTTCATAGTCGTGTACAAACGAAAAGTATTTTCTGCATCATACAACAAAATTGAATCTCATCTAGAAACATTTCATTTAAAAATCATTTTATAGGGCTGGGCATGGTGGCGCACACCTTTAATCCCAGCACTCAGGAGGCAAAGGCAGGTGGATCTCTGTGAGTTCAAGGCTAGCCTGGTCTACGTAGTGAGTTCCAAGACATCCAAGATAGCTGGGGCTACAGGGAGACACTGTCTCAAAAAGACCGAAAAAAAAAATCATTTTATTGTTTGCTACACTTTGACAGTATATAGGACACCAGAGTATGCACTACAAAAAACTACCCATAGAGCTCACTGGGGGAATTCATGAAAGTATAGGCTTTTTATCTTTGTGGGAGAAAGCGGGGAGAGACAGGGTCTCAGGTAGTCCAGGCTGGCCTTGAGAACTCACTGTGTAGGGAAAGAAATCAAAAGGCTCTATGGTTGTGTAGGTAAGGATGAACTTGGACTTATGTTCTTCCTGCTTTACCCCCAAGTGCTGGAATTATAGGCGTGCACCAGCATGTGCTACTTTGATTTGGGGGGGGGTGTTGTTTGTTTGTTTGTTTGTTTGTTGAGATAAGGTCTCTGTGCACCCCAAGCTGGCCTGGAATTCACTGCATAGCTCAGGCAGGCCTTGAACCCATGGTGATTACCTAGTGCCAGTCTCCCTAATGCTGGGATTATATAGGAGCTACCACAACCACCTGATAATTATTCTTTAAAAAAAGTTTTTTTGTGATTCTGCTTAATATGAGAAGTCAAAAAGCAGAAAAAAATTACTAAATGAAATTATGAACTAAAAGAAATCAAAAGTCACTAGGGGTTGAAGGTCTCTGGAAAGGCTGTGCCACCTGGGGACCCCAAGAAGGTCTCGAGGGTGAGGAAAGTAGTGGACACATCTTGTGGTATGGGCAGAGAAGAAGCAAGGTCCTGGAGATAGAGTGGGAGGCTGTTGGGAAGATGAGGCTGAGGTGGCCAGGAGCCTAAGGGAAGTGGGGAGTGGCAGCCTTCAAGGCTGTAGCTTGCCTTTGGAGCTCCCAGCACCTAAAGGGGTTAGAAACAATGGTATCCTTTGAAATTAAAAACAAAACAAAAACAAAACAAAACAAAACAAAAAACAAAAAAAAAGAAAAACTCCATATGTGGGTGATTCAATTTATCAACATATTCTATTAACCCCTTGCTACCTCATTTGGGTACAGATGAATTTAACTGACATAATTAAAACATTTCATGAAATTTAAATGAACTAGTCTATGTCAAAAAGGGACAAAAGAAGCACCTAGGGTCTTGATGTGATGAGGAGGGAATCCCCCCATGTGGGTAGTACCATTCCATGGGCTGGGGTCCCTGACAGATTAAAAAGGGGGAAGGAGAAAGCGGGCTGAGCACCAGCAATCCTCTTTCTCTCCTGTGAACGCAGTATGTTCAGCCACTACAAGCTCCTGCTGTCATTCCTTCTCTGCCATGACGGATGATTCTATCCCTGGAACCACGAATAAACCAAAATAAACTGTTCCTCCTAAAGCTGCTTCTTGTCAGGTATTTGGTCATAGCAACAAGAAAAGTATCTAATAAGCACATCCTTGCCTTAAACTTGTGATCTTATTGCCTTGGCCTCCTGAGTGCTGAGATTTTAGGTATGTGCTCCTGGACCTGCAGAATGTGCCGTTGCTTTATTCGCTACTCAGGTGCTTGAAAATACTGTCTGAATGGGATTCTAGGTGCTCTCTGCCTATCTAAGGGCATAGCTTAGCTCCCTTTGACAGAGGACTGACATACTCTGACAGGCGCATTCCAGGCCCCTTTTCACCTCATACAGATTTTACTAGTTGCACTTTCTTTTGACCCAACCTCAGCTGACCTGACTGACCCTGGTTCCATCAGATGGCCAGAAAATAGTCGTTGAAATTATAAGTCTCTTCCTGCCTCAGAGCTGTAGTCATACTCCAAGCAGTTTGACAAGATGCGCCCTAGTAACCGCTCTAGACTGCATCAAAAGATTTATTTTACCTTTTGTGAACTGGCCATGGAAATTTCACAATTTCTATCTTCAACTGTTTTTAAACACATGAAAACTGCATATATGCATGTGCACATATATATGGCACTAAGACTGGTACACATTATGTACATTCAATGTTTAAATCATTTAAAGCAATCCTATGAGGTAGCTGAACTGGGTGGGTCACAGACTCAAAGCTCAGCTCTTGCAAACCACATTGTACTGCCTCTCTTTAACCACCTTAACTCACACCATAACAGCTATGACATGAAATGGTCACTTCCAGACCCTTCAAATTAAAGTAAATTCAACATTCACTGGCCCAGAAGAGGTTTCTGACATTTTTGGAAATCATAAGAATGTTATGAAAAGCTGCTAACTTCTCAGCTTAGAGATTCACTCATTATCAAGTACTTGTTGAGCATATGCTACAATGCCTGGCACTGTAAACAAGACAAACAAAACTTCTGTCTTCCCACACCGGCAAACAGCAAGGTAGTGAGACAACACACAGATAAGGATCGGGGAAGCCGGTCGAGCAGCAGTCCATTCTCAGGAGTATGAGAGCAATTCAGTCAGTCAGGAGATAGGGCATGCTCTACGTTCTGTCAACAGCCATAATGGAGCTGCCTCTGGTTAACCAAGGACTGGATAGGGGAGTGGGGGAAATGGGCAGCCTTCAGGCAGGAAAGGGAAATGGTCCTCTGGTTTAAAAAAAAAAAAAAATCATTGTAACCACGGTGAGCAAAGAGATTGGATGAATAGGGACAAACTACAATCAAGGAAGCTGGACAGGTGCTGGATTTACCCAGGGGACTGGTGGAATCCGTGCGATAGCAGTAGGGAGATAGTTATGTGGGAATGGATGGAGATTTAGAGGAAGAGGCGGTGTGGAAGATGTAGTTAGGGGAAGGCAGATGGGTGGTGGCAACCACAGAGCATCCAAGAGCAGTAGCTGCCAGGGGTAGGGTTACATTTAGAGTCGCTCACAGTATTGCATTAACAGCGGTTGGGCGCTGGGCTCTGGTTTACAGGAAGAGTCCAGGTGATGGTGGGGGCTTTTTAGACATCCGCAACACAAGGTACTTGAAAGCAGGCACCGGGAAGAGCTCGCCAAGGTGGCGCGGAGCAGCGTCCTGGGAACGGAAGGCTGGAGCTGGGCATGCGGTTCACAACGGAGCGCTAGTCTCCAGGGTCACCAGAGCTGATGGAAGCCACACACCAGGTCCATCATGGGCTAGAAGCACCGTATACCACCGAAAGCCTCTCCCACCACCGGCTCAAGCACAAGCCCATTTACTAGGAGGCGGCAGGCTCTGCGCAGGAGGCTCCCCGACCCAGGAGGGGTAGTCCCTTTGGGCTGGGCTCCAGGCAGGGAGACCGCGCCGGCCAAATCTCCTGGGAGACCAGACTTCCCACACCACTCACCGCGCCGGAGGACGGCCCTCCTTCAAGCCAGCCTCCAAGTGGTCTTCATCGTCCTTCCCGGCTCCCAGCACCCGCGCCTGCGAACGCTCACGGGTTTCCTTGCTGCGCCCGCCCTTGGTTTTTCAGTCAACTCCTTCCCAAACCCCGAGGTTGAACCAATGCGTAAACGTCTTCATCCGTTGCGTCGGGCCGATCAGCCAATCGGAAATAACAATGCTGCACTGTGCGGAGCACCATAGCAACGGGTGACGCTTGCCCCGCTGCCCAAGCAACCAGAGACTCCATGGGGTGAGGCTTTCACTGCACAGAGCCCTGACCAGCGAGCAGCCAGCGACATATCTTGCGCTGGTTTTCGTATGCTTGGAGCTTAGTCTGCGGCATCAGAAATAACAGGTTTATCTCGGGTGCTTCAAGATTGCTATGGACTACAAATCAGTTCTCAAAGGTTGAGGAAAAGGACTATTACTTTTAGACTTTATAAAACCACTTTGAGCCCAATGCATGTGTCAGGTTGACAAAACGCATTCCCTGGGCCGCAAGACCTCTCGGTCAAACTTGTCACAGGTACATTTGGTGGCGCTGCAAAGTCACTTCACCTTTTAGTGCAAGTCTGCAAATTTTTTTAATGAAAACGAGTTGCATTAAAATTGCCTTTTAAAAGATAGAACCTTGAGCCTTTAAAAATGAGTGTCAAACTTTACTGAGTGGTCAGTTTGGGCTGAGCCCTAGTCCCAATTATTTCATTTTGCCTGCTCTTCACATTGGTCATTATTTTTCATTCTAAAGTTGTAAACAAGAAATGGCCTAAACAGCCCAAGACTGTCTCTGGAAATAATAAAGGCAAGGCAAAGCCTAGGATGCATCCTTGACCACTTCCTCAGGCACAGGGCTCTAAGCACTTGGAATAGCAACTGTGTAACTGAAAAAACTTTCCCCTGAAGAAAAAAGCCAGTAGTGGTGGCAACATGTCTTTAATTCCAGCACTCAGGAAATGGGAGGCCAGGAGTTTGAAGCCAGCCTGGGCTACATCAGAATTTGTATCAAAAACCAACAAAAACCTTAAAAGTAGAGTTCTATATTGGGAATGTAAGAAATGGAGATGAAAGGCAAGCTCAGGTGACTACATTCAGAATGAAACCCTTAGGATTGATGCTCCCAACCAAAACCCAAAATGGTGATGGAGCATGGAGTAGGAAAGTGTTCTATGCAGACTTCTGATTACGGAGCAGGGAGTAAACATGACTTCATTCAAGTTCTGCTGATCTTCAGCAGAATATCAAATGTGCCCGACTTTTCTACTTTTCAGTAAAAGAAATGTAAAATCAATACTTGGACCTTCCCTGAATATTCCTGAACATTCACTGCATGGAAGATGTAAACTACATTAAAGTCACTGGCTCTTGAAGATATGACCATCTCCAAATGGTGAGGGCCCCGACTGCTCTGCTGTGTAATAAAGATACATAAGCCACCATCGGAATCACAGCTGCACAGTGTTTGCAGCTATGTCATAGGTAGGATTCACATCTATGGGGTTTTGTGCCCCCCCCCTTTTTTTGTTTTCTATTACCCTTTTAGTGTCCTGAAATAAATGTGTCAACTACATGAAGAAAACCAGTATCATGCCCTAGTTATAGCATAAAATAAGCTAATAAAGATAAATTAAATCTGCACTGAGATACTCAGAATCAACTTAAAACAAAAATCACATCATATAATTTCTGAAAATATTGGGTATGTCCAACCTACAGTCCACAGGCCACATGTACTCCAGGATAGCTGTCAATGTAGACCACCAAAAAAACATAAGTGAGGGGTTTGTTTTGGGTTTTTTTTGTAATCTCATAGTATGGTTCAAGTGTGTACTTTGTAGATGACTACATATTGTTCCAATATCAAATGGTTGGACCCACTTGCAAGATCAATGGCCCTGTGCAAGAAAAGGTGTGGGCCTAACAAGTATGCATGCACTCACGCACACATGCACTAGCACGGTGCAGGAGCAAGAACCTAGCTTGAAGACTGACAGCATGAGGCTCAATATAACCCGAAGTGCAGAACTCTCAGTGAGCCTTGAAAGAAAAGCAGCAACAGGGGGGAAGGCTTTGCAAACCTGTCATGTCTCCATTACAAGCAATGGGACAGAGGTAAAGGCCCATCACTGGGGGGACGCATACTCAGATTAGACAGGCAGTAAGTAATACCACAGCAAACAGCACAAGTAAGGAATCCCTACTGCTGGTAAATAGTAAAGGCAACAGTCTTGAAGTTCTGTACATGAAAATTATAAATTAACAAAAGTACATTTTCTTAAAATGTAAATCAAACTTCCTAAGAAATTTCCAAAGCCATAAACACTTTTCTCCATCACCCACAACCTAGTAAATTTTTCATGAGACATAAGAAGTTTTTGTGTGTGGAAAACAGGAGCAAGTGCTATATACCATAAGAAAACAATCTAAGACATGTCATTTTCTATTAAAAAAATTCAAACTAAAATTAGATAAAAGAAAAACAAACCTTGAGCTTGAGAGGTCAATGGAACTCCTCACATGGCAAAATTTTTCTAGCATTAAAATAGAATGCAAAATTGGACCACTCTTTAAAATATTTTATTATTTTTATTTTATGAGTGTACTGCCTGCATGTAGGTGGGTGCACCTGTGTCATGCAGTGTCCACAGAGGTCAGAAGAGGGGATCAGATTCTCTAGAAATGGAGTTACTGATGGTTGCCAGCTGCCATATGGATACTAGGAACCAAACCTGGGTCCTCTGTAAGAGCAGCCAGTGCTCTTAACCCCTGAGCCATCTCTCCAGTCCCTGGACCAGCTGTTTAAACAGTACTTTACCTTCAATATTTCTTAACTATTAAATGTCACTGTGAAACAGCGTTTTACTTTCTTCCTCTTTTGTTTCTCCCTTTTGTCCCTCTTCTACCTGGGCACCGAGGACGGGGAAGCGGAAAGCAGAACTCACTCCTTCCCAGCCCAGCTGAATCTGAGGACGAAATGCAGCTCTCCAGGGACACAGGAGTAAAAACCAGAGTGAGCAGCTTGTTATGTGGACTTTTATTGCTTTCAACTTTCAATAACATCTACAAAAAAAAAAATAGTGATCTCTAACAATTATGAAACAAATTTGAAAGGCAGCATTGTTCACATTATTAACTCAGGTAGAGATGTACTTCATATAAACAAAAAATATCAGGTCTACAACTGTTTAATTTACTTTGGATTTTATTACAAAAGAAAATATCATTGCAATTATAAAAGCCATAAAAATTGTAACTGTATGTGAAATTACACCAAGGTATCAAATATTATATAAATGGACAATAAAATTCAATTTTTATTTAAACTTAACATAGTAAACATGGAAGACACCCTCTTCCTGCAAAGATAAAGACTGTGAACAAATAAAGCAACAAGAAAAGATGCAGCACAAAAACAATCAATGTGCAAAACATGTGATTAAAAACCTTAAAACTGGGGCTTACCTCTAAGCATATCTTAAAATTTTAAATAATCTTTAGATGGTTCAGCTTTTTATAACTGACAATTTACTTTCTGGTAAGTTAAAAAGGACCTTACATTAAAACTATCAAAATCCTGCAATCTTAAAACTTGAATGCAGTTATGTCTTTAATTTACTTTCTAAAAATAAATAACTGCTGGAATGAGGACATTTCACATATTTGCACTACATATGATAACAGGGATGGAATCTACATAAATAAATCTCAAACATTTAAGTTATTTAAGATAAACACTTTTGAATTCAATGGTACGCTGATGGCTTACATATCCCAATCTGAGCACTTTAACAGGATTCATATGCTGAGCTGTTAAGCACATTTATATCACTGATGGGCACTGATGAAACCTACTAACCAGGAAGCTCTGGTGCTATTCCTCACTTTCAGGGATGGTTTTTCTTTCTGAAGAATTTTGAACCTGTCTTTGTGAAAGGAAAATGAGAACGCCATACTCACACTGAAACTTTGAGTATGTGGAAAAGTTTTTGGATGGAGAAGAGTTAGTGATTCTCAGCAGTAAACAGATCTCCTTTATAAATGCATGCATTAGCACATATAATGTTTCATCCTACATGTTTTACAGAAAGCTTGGCAAATTATGAACATTGGTATGCCACAAGGTTAAAAAAAACTTAAAAGAGATTTAAGGTTGATTTCACACATAACACATACAACACAGTGTCTTAAAAGACTGGGTACTTCACTTCTGCATATTTAATATTACTAAAAATATATAGAATCACCCTTTTAGCATCAGGAAGCTAATTCACTGTTTTTCCCAAAAGCTCCTATTTTAGATTGAAACAGCAATCAAAACAAAGTACATTTCAGATGGTTAACATCAGGATTTTTTATAGTCTTTGTAAACACACATCTAGAAATAAATAAACTAGGGTGAAGGAAAGAATATCCTGAGGTGGCTTTATGGCCAGGGTATTCAGTAGCACTAAGCTCTAATCTGAAAATCAAGGCATCTAAGAAAGTGCAGGGCTGCTCATCTGATTTTGCCAATGGATATGTACAAGTTTAATTGTTTCGCACCTTGAGGTAAATCAGTTCATAACAACTACTACTCCTCATAAACACCTACTTAAGGCAGCATTTAAAAGTCAACACATATAGTAAATTATATCTTGCTGTCTTGTAATAAATGTTATTCATGATTGCTATTTTCAAAAATAGTAGAAGAAATATAGCCACTTGAAAGAAGCAGTTAACCTCTGCTCTTCAGTGGTGTAGTCGTATCAGATAATTTTCTAAGTCAAGTAGTCAAAAGCAGAAGCTATTAAAAATAAAAAACACAGTGAAACTTTCTGAATGCAAAGTGTTTTTAAGTTATATTTTTTCTGGCACTGGGTAATACATATACACAATTAAATAAAATCATAAAAAGATTATGAGACCAGGTAGTTTTCAGTTTAAATTTTAAAATCACTTCCTATAAAATAAGCTAACCCTTTGATGTCCAGACACAAGGAAATGATATGAGGAAATCCTCCTGTTTCGGTACATCAGGGGTGTTTTAAAAATAGCAGCAAATACTGGGGACTTTGGAAATGACTACGCTGCTGAGAGGAACCACTTCAATGGAAGTCACGACTGCTGACAAGCACCATGGCAATCCTCCTATCAGATGCCAAGAGAGTTCATTAGAATCCCTCAGACAGTACCAGATGATGCCAGCTACATTTCTAAGGAAAAGCAGCTACATTTCTAACCTCATGAGGCAGAAATTGACTCTATTATTTTAACTAGACTTCAACTATATGATCTCTGATGAGGGAATTATACTAATTATTATGTAGGTTAAATGGATTAAAAACACTCCAAAATTGCTAAAATATCCAATTTGGGCATTTTTATTCATTTGATCTATGAGATCAATTCCCTCATATTTCTGTACTTTAATCTGAAATGAACGTTCACCCCAATATTCACCTCCCCATCACGTTCAGTGTTTGAGGCTTCTCAATATTCAAATGGGTTCTTTAAACTGTCCTCTTGCCCTATTAGTTTCACAGCCCCATTCATTCAGCCCTACAGGCTTATATGGAACAGCACTGATTTATTCTGTGGGGAGCTAAGAGTATATAAAAGATGATCAAAACAATCTGCTACAAGTTAAAAAGGCAGCTCAGAAATAATGAAAAGCCAAATGCTATCACAGAATAGGAACAATATCATCTACGCTGCACATAAAATGCCTAACTTCATTTTAAAATGTAAATATGGCAGTGCTTTATATCAAAGGTGTAAAGTCTATCACCTGCTTTCATATAATAAACAAATGCAAGTGAGCATCAATTATCTACAACATTAACAATTAACATTTGTTAACACCTCAAATGTCTACATAATATTTAAGCATCATGTCAATTAAAATAAATAAAATAGTTAAGAATGAAATTGTGGGTAATAACCTATTAAATCTATTAGAAATAACAACAGAAATGAAAGGTAATTTTTATAAAGTAACACTGATCACAAGCCCATTTGAAAGAATTCTGACTTCTGATTAATCACTATTTACTATAGAAAAATAGTCAAGAACTTGAACCTGATACAAACTAAACTACTTTAAGTACAAGAGAACAAGGGCAAAGAATAGAGTAGAATTTCAGGTTTTGAGAAAACTGTGAGTGCTCAGAAAATAATGTTTACAAAAGTAAAAAAAAAAAATGTAACTACTGCAAACTAGAACTTTATAGCTTTTACAACTCAAAACATTATGACTGGTATGGGTGCTAAATTATCAGTTACATTTAATTTTTTACTTGCTCATCAGAATGGAAGCCCACATAAGGATGTTTTAAAAATAATTCCTAAAACATAAAGGTTGACTAAAAGCTATAGTTCCTACCTAGGAAGATTTCATTGCTTTATCACTTGTGAAGCATGAAGGGCATTTATGAGGAAGCCCACAGAGAAGCCAGGACGTGTGATTTTCCCCACAACATTGGCAGATGCCTTATTCTACCTATAAAACGCTACTAAAAAACAAAGTTTTAGAAACTCAAGTGAAAATTACAAATATATAGACAAGGTTTGCATCACTTGATACGATTGCCACTGACAGAGATTTAAGAAAAGCAAAGTGAATGCCATTCTTCACATCTTTCTACTGTAAAACAGAAAGATGTTCCCCACCCACAACAGAATTATCTGAAGAGAAAAAAACCATGTACCTCACTTCTAAGAGACCACTTCATTCTTCATGGTGCTCATAACCAACTACAGACACTACTTCAAAAAACCCAGGTGTCATGCATAAATAGCATGACATACAGTACTGTTACATATAATGACACAACA